GCACAGTGATTGCTGGCTGATTTTTTCCTTGCTTCTTCCCCATCCTGAGCTGTTTATGTCCTTGTGCCTCTCTTCACAAACCTGCTGTGAGTACCTTGTCTGCTCCTCAACAGGCTCTGTGTTTTTCTCTAAAGGTATATTTTCCCCTGTTTCATTCGGAGGGAGAGACTATCGTAAGGCAGCTATTTTCAATTTTGTTTGCTGAAGTTGTCACATCCAAGTGGAGCCTGGGTGTTTATTTTTAGATTACATGTAAGTGGATAAGAAAAAATGCTCAGGATCATAATTTGAAAATCCCACTCTGCACCATTTGAAGATTCTATCTTGAGCATATGCTGGGAAATCAGTCTGACCCAAAATAAACTTCCCAGGCAACAGACACATGAAACCAAGTGACAATTTGATGTTTGCCACAAGACAGTCCGTGCCAATTTGAAGAGGGCACGGGGACCTGAATCAGAGCTCTCAGTCCTGACAGTCCAGGCAAGGCGTGCTCACTGGAAACAAACCTGAAGAAACGGAGAAAGATGTGGCGAGCTGTTAAGCGATGGCAGAATCGGGATAAACAAATATTAGGATGATGTAGCTATAGGACAGCTTCCATGGTGGCTTTGACAAAGATTCTCTGGAACTTCCAGGATGACTCTCCTGGTGCCCCACTGCAGAAAGCTTAGACAGATTACACTCCAGACTTAGCTTACACATAGATGTGTAGGTTATGCAGGTTGCAAAGTGTTTTCTCTGTCAAACTGTGGTAATTTTTTCAAATTAAGTCAAAAAGCATGCCCTGGAAATGGGATGTGCTTTTATAGAAATGAATTATTGCTGTATGCTATACAGGAATTTAACACTCACAATGGTAGGCTAATAAGTAAGTAGGTAAGAACAGAATATTAAATACAAAGAAATTTTGTAGGTAAAGAGAAGGCATTGATGTTAAATTAGCTATGAAACCATGACTGTTTTAATTTTTTTGCCTTTTGACTTTTGTCTGTTTCACCGGTATTTGTCAGGGTACACTTTTGCCAGTCATGTCAAGTATAGCTGGTAGGCTTTCCTTTCACACAACTTTAATGATAAGTGACAGAGACGGCGAGAGGCACTCAACTGCCTGCAGAATGCATTAAAAATTCAAAACTTTACTTATCAGTCTTTTATTAAAACTTTCGGTAATTGTACAAAATTATTTTCCCACTGGGTTAGCTTTCAATATGGAGTACAATTATATTTCTGACACAAAATAATTATGGTTAAAAAAAACTGCTACAAGAGAAAAGAAGTATTTATTTTTAAAGCAAAATTCATCCATTTTATATCCACAAAGAAGAATTACAATGAAAAATTAAGCAATTACTGAGCCAAAGCTCCAGTTTTGAACATTTAACTTCCAGTAGTAGACAGCTGGGTGGAAACCCAGGCAATAGAACTGAAAAGAATTATGGGTTGTGAATGGAGACTTTATAGTCCTTGTCTGCTATGAAAGACTTACTTTCCTACATTTAATCTATCAGTGTTAGATTCACGAACATGGTAGACCAAAATGTTTTCCAAAAGAGTAAATATTGAGTATTAGTAGGTGAATTTCAGTGTGTTATCTGTGGGGTTTTTTTTTGTGTGTCTTTGAAGTATTCCTAGTTAAAGATTTTAATCCCAGATTTTGTGTGTTATGGCATGCATTAAAATAATCCCCAAATTGCTAGTTTTGCCATCTTCCCTTAAACAACAACAACAAAACCCCAAAGCCCAGTAAATAAATCTCTACAAAAACAGAATTCTTCTGGAGGTAGGTTCCTTTAAAGATTTAGAGATTAAAGAGCTGAGGATGCCTTTCAATGGAATGGTGCTTTCATAGAACGTGCAAGGCACTGGGCTCCATCTTCAGGACCCCAGAAACAAAGGATAGGAGCTATTGCATCCCTGGGATAGAACACATAGATAGATTGCTTGCTTAGGGTATAGGCGGCCTGGTCTTAAATCCCCTGAAACACAAGTATACTCACAGACAAACACAAACACCCAAATTTAAAGAGTAACACATAAATTTATATTTTAACCAACACTTTCTTAAAATCTGACATCACTTCTTATTGCTTTATTTGTACCCTGCCCTGGTGGTACATTCATTTGGTGGCACACTATACCTGAGAATGCTCTGTATGTTTAGTAAACACACAGTATAGTTTTAAGCAACTCCAGGAAAATCCCAAGATTTATGCCTTGTTTAAATCTCTGTTATTGTCCTTAACTAGCTCACAGTTTAGGATTAGATGAAACCAGATTTTAATTCGATGTGAAAAATATCTGAGGCCTCCCACAGTGAGGAGTTCATAGGTATCCATTGATGGTGGGGAAATATGGAGACTTGTATGTGTATTTATATTTAAAATTCATTATACTTCTATATTTCATTTTATGTACACAGCATAAATATATGGTCTGGTAGCCTAGAGATACAAATTCAAAATTTAAGTGGAAATTTTCATGGAGCATGCCCATCTCTCAATATAGACATGGAGTCCCATTGTCATGCTGATAATGTTCACAGAGGCTTGGAACTTTAATTATAGTTTTGGTGATACTATTAGCTGGTGTGTCCTTGTATAAGTCAACATTTAAGGTGTCTAAGGTTCTGTGTCTTACCTCTCCCTTCCTAATTCCTTCTCATATAAAGCAATATGAAATCTTTGAAAGGTCATTACCAACCAGGAACTTTCTCAAGTGTATCCATTTCGTTACTCATGTCACCTTTCTGAGGGCAATTCTAGTACCCTTTTCTATACTAGAAATGAATACTCTAAAGTACAGGACAAAGGTAAGAAGTCTGAAGGTTGAGAGGCAGAAGTCCAAAAATAGTTTTAAATTCTAAACTCATTCAATTTCCTATGGTAGTGTCACTTACTCATTTAAATAATTTATTGATAGATTATTTAACATCTGCTCTGTGATGTTGTGCTACTTGAAAATACCTCTAAGTGGAGAAGACTCTTGGGAACAAAGTCATACATACAATCATGTAACTAAGGAAACATCTAAGATAAAGTAGCCAGAAATGGTCAGAATAAAAAACATTAATATAAGTGCTAATGTGGAAGGATGGCTAGCTAACAGGGTAACTGGCCAAAACAGAGCAGAAGAAACACTAGTTACCAAGAGAGCATTGAAGAGAACATGACTGTTGCTCCCCATGGCTGGAGTCCATGTTAGGTACAGGAGGGATAAGAAGAAGTTGGAAATAAGACAAAAACCTAAAATACTTATTTTTTTCATTATGTGAAGAGTTACTGAGAAATATTTTGGCTTGAAATTCAATGGTTAAATGTGGTTAAAAGCTTCATTGATGTTCAAGGTGTGGGATCAGGGGGAAGCGTATCATGAGGTTGGGGACTGAGAAGTTGCTTTAGAGTGCTGAACTTACCTGCTTACCTGCTCATTCACTGAATTCTTTATTTCCCATGTGTCCATTGTGCATGAGACATTGTTCTTGATGTTCAGATGATACTAACGGAATAATCATGGCAAAAATCTAGCCCTTAAATTGTAGCAAAATTTATGTAGGATTACAAAGAAGGAACTATTTAAGGAGATCATGGGATTATAGAGAAGGCTTGTAAGGTACTTAGGAGGCAGCACTCATAGACAAGGCCACTAGTTGGGACTGAATGGTCCACTCTTAATATCTGGAAACAGTAGAGCATCCATCCTAAATAATCAAAACTGGTACCAACAGCTTAAAAAGGAAGTTTACTATTGAAAAAGTCTGTGACAAAGCTGTCAAACTGACTTTACATGCTCCAGTATAGGGGGATGGATGGCCATTAGGAACCTTCTTTGAACCATCAAGATGATTTATCGGATTGATAGGCAATTGTTCAGGAATTATGACCTTTCAACCCCAGGGGTCTCCAAAGCAAAACATGCTCTTGAACACTTTGATTTGATGTACTAGATAAATGAACAGACTGACTCTGGCTACCATGCCTTAGACGGGGCCCACAAAAGTAGAACCACTAGATATACAGGTTATATCATATGAATTTGTTATCAGACTCTGTATCATTCTCAAGCTTATTCATTGACTTTCCAATGAAGGTAAGAGTTAGATGCACCTATAGAAAATAATATGTTAATTTGAAGAAGTAAGTGAAATAAGAAATTAATATAGGAGCTTGAATCAGATTGCACACTTAGCAACAAAGCTTGACAGGTAACAATACCACCATAACCTGTATTTTTCCTTGCCTGTCAGGGTGGGTAAGGCTTTAAGGGTGTCTGGCCAAGTGGTTGGTTAGGACATCAGCTCTCCAGAAATCATCAGAGTTCTTTCAAGCCTGGTGGTTAACTCTTTTTGAGGCAGGTGAGGGGTCAGGTTCTTGACTGTCCTGTTTGTCTGCTCCAGGAGGAAGAGAAAGGCAACACTTGGCTCCAATCAAGGCTCCTAAAGTACTTGAAGAGGCTGAGTTAAAAGGTAGCAAAATCAGGCAAAGCACACACATGGTACTTTAGTTCTGTTGATGGTATGAATGAGAAGCATAGGTGGTCTGACTATAGAAGTCCGTGTAAGGATATTTTCAACAATAAAGAATGACTGTAGGAAGCATTGAAGGCAGACATGCCACACATTTACTCCCTAGTCATTGTCTCTTGATAGCTAAAACGTAGTACTGGAGCTGGTCTCAGATCTCATGGAGTTGGAGGTATTGGAGAGGACTGAAGCAGGGAGCTGCTTCCACCGTGGGGGTCTCATGTGAGTACACTGATGAAGTAATTTTAAGACACTGAGAGTCTAGCAGACATTTGAAAGATGAACAGGGTTGAGGAGCAATGAAAAACAAACATAAGGGAGAGAAGAAGCTGTTTTTCTTGCTTGTTCCCGATGTATGACTAAACAGGTCAAACACCTGTGAGAAGAGGGTGCTTCAGGGACACCCTCAGACTCAAATTGTCCATGGGTGTCTTGGAGATTGCGTCCTCCCCTTGTGCAGTGATTAGCTGCCTCTTCACACTGGTGAGGCTGCCAGTGAAGAGCGGGGCCTTCACCTGCAGGCGTTGCCATGGCAAAGGACACGTGGCACAGATTCAGGCAACATTAAAAGGCAAAAGTGAAAATGAGGGTAGAGAGAACAGAAGCTTGATTCAAGTGTATCAAGTCACCTCTGCCACTGAGCTTTTGTCAAGAACCAGACCAATCCCACCTTTGGCTTCTTGACCCATGAAGGCCCCCGAGTCCTGAAAATATGGTACATAAATCAACTTTTTAAAAAGTGCTGCCCGCTTTTGTGTTAACTTGCTGCAAAAATGCTTCTGTTTCTAGAAGAGATGAGTGGTTTCTTAACCCCAAAAGGATTAAGAAGTGGAAAGGAATTGGTTCATGAACAAAGTAAAATCATTTTTTTCCCTAATGCAAAATTGGCTAGCAAAGTAGTTGGTTTAACTGCAATTCTGAAGTTTTCTTTCATCGATACTGTCTTTATAATACACATGGTTTTTCAGGATAACCAATGCTCATTTCTCTGGAGTCAATCAAAGAGATTTCTCTCTTTCACTTGATTTCCACTCTGAATTGAATTTTTCTTTTATTTTCTACTTCCAAGTTTGTGCCTATTATCCTATTTAGTAATTAAGGTTCCATTATGGTCAGGTATCCTATATGTGATTACACTCTCAAATCTGAAAATTCTGTATCTATCTCTATTATCTATCTGATATATACCTATATCTTTGTGTATGATAGAGACATAATTTCTAGGTCAGGACATGACATAGTCACTCTCCATTTTGACTAGTTGATTCACTTTGTTCCTTATTTAATGGTAGTTAACAATAATGGTAAATAAGCTACATGCTGACTGCATAGCATTTGCTTGAGAATTTCTGTAGTGGATCTAGGAGGTTCTTATTCAGACCCCCAACCTTGTAGAGTTGAGTGCTGGTAGTTCAGATTTATGACATGATGGGAAAGGAGAATGCAGTGTATGGTGTATACAGTGCACATTGAGTCCCTAAATTGCTTGTGACTTCTTGTAAAAGAAAATGCCATGCCTCTCAGTCTCACCACCTTTATCATGGTAGATAAAATATGGCTTAGGTCATGGGAATGTTGTGAGTATAGAGGAACTTGGCTTGGATCAACACCTGTGGCTTTTCCTATGCATCTTTCTGCATTGACTAGGCATGATCAGCTGACTCTTAGGTGTAATGTCTACTAGGAAAAGGTTTGAAAATAGGATTATGTGCCTTAAGTGGAAGGGCTTTCAGAAAACTCAGTGAATAAAGAGACACTAAATAGTTAATTAACCCTCTCATCTCCTCCCCTTTCCTTCACTCTCTCTCCTTTCCCTTACCTTCTTTTTCTCCTTTTGCAATTACTAAAAATTAAATTTATTTATTAACTTGTGTCTTTCTTCATGTGCATTCACCCTCCTTCTCTAGCATGTGTGTACCATGACCCACATGTGGAAGCCAAAAGGCAACTTGTAGGAGTGGATTCTCTCCTTCCACTATGTCAGTTCTATGGATTGAGCCCGGAAAATTAGGCTTGGCAGCAGGTGCTTTATCTGTTGCACCGTTTCAACACACACACACACACACACACACACACACACACACACACACACACACACACACAGCTGCCATTTTTGTGGTGGAGACAAAGTCTATGTATGCCAGGCTGGTCTTGATGACCTTGAACTTACAACCTTTCTACGTCAGTCTTGAAAATGGAGATTGTAGATATTCACTACTCTGTCTTATGAATAAATCTTAGGTAATGGATTAAAAGAAGACGGCAGAAACAGAAGTTTACTGATTGGATTATGAGTGTCCAATATTTGAGGTAAGAACTATTCATAAGTTTGCCAGGCACAAAGACAATAGCTTCTATGTTTCAGTATCCCCATGATAGGGCAGTTTGAAGACTGCTTAGTCACATTTGCCAAGCCATTTTTCAAGATAATATTGTCTATCTGGAAAAAGTTATGCAGAATGATTGTCACAGATTTTTCTGAACATTGTGATCAAATTTTTATCTGATTGTAAAGTCTAACGTTCTGTCAACATGTCAAAGCCTTCTGTAAGATGCTCAGACACAAGTTTGATTACTCTCCACCCAGCAGCTCTATAGCTGTTTTACTTCATCCTGTCTTACAGGGAGGCCCAGAAGTTCTTTGATGGGACAAAAGAATTAATGCCAAACTTGAGTGAATTACAGCCGCTACTATCTAATTAAAATGATTTTGTGCCAGTTGCTTCTGTTGGGCTGGATCCACACATAATAAAATTTCAATTCTGTTTGTAGGCAGCCTGAGATAGATTTGAGACCAGCACTGCCTTTTAAGAGAGGCTGATCAAGCATGGTGTATGCAGCTTCTGTTTCTCTATCAGATGTGAACGATGACACTGCTGAGAGGTTGCCTTGACTGGCTCCTTCCATTGGTAACGAGGTAGCTTGCAGGGTCTGAGCGTTGACCCAGCCTGATCATCAGCCTCTCTTTGCCTAGTCCTTGGAATGGTGCAGCTGTTGTCAGTCACAGAGGAGAACTCCAGTTATGAACAGCTTTGCTTACAGCAACATGTCTCTACACAGGGGAGGGAGAAGAAAAGGAAAGGGAAATAAAACAGCCTTACAAAACCAACTCACCTAAAAAGTAAACATCTTTTTTTTTGTTTTATACGCCTGGCTCTGTTTATGTATATAAAACGGACATTATGGTGGAGTGAAAAAGACCCTCATAAAAATCCTTCTTGAAAACTATTGTTGCTGACAGCCGTGACCTCTGTGCGTCTGCATGTTTACCCATAATTCATAATTAACAAAGACATTAGAACTGCCACAGGAGAATTCTGGGCTTTATTTCTTTCTAACTGGGCAGTACTAATGCTGGAAGTGCTCCCAAATCAGTGATTTAACATTTCAGGAAATCTTGGAGAGGCAGCAGAAGCCTCCTTATATAGCTCATACGCTGGGACTTTGGCGATATGGATACGGCCGAGATAATTATTCAGCTCTCGTTATTGCTGTAGCTCTGCACCTGATCCCCGAACCATTAGAGCACTCTGCAGGTTATTACAACTATCAAACATCAAGGTCTCTTTTCTAGTCTCTTGACTGTGTGGTTATCATTTTACTCCTTTTAAATCCCCCATCTGCATAGAAAGCCTCTGTGTTTTTTACTGAGTTCTGCTCACAGCTTTCCCCCACCCTCTCCTTTATTGCTCCCCAAATGGAGCCCCTTTCTTACCAGCGCATTTGCATGAAAAACATAAACCTATATAAACCTCACGCATTTCCACTTGTATTGTTTTTATGCCTTTTCTCTTGTTTGATTTTTCTCTTCCAGGTCCTGTGCACCCTTTAATTTGGGCAGCAAAGGAGTCAGTAGAAGGGAATTCTCTTGAGCTCGAGGAAGCCATGATGATATAATTTGAGATTATGGGAGCTGTAGGTGCAAATGTTTAATCTCCCACTTATTGAGCTCTTTTCACCTTTTTGTAAGCTTCTGTCCATCTGTACCGTACATGATACAAAAACCTATGTATGCACAAGAGGATGTAAGGACAATTTGGATAAAGAAATCTTTTTGTTTGTTTGTTTGCATTGTGTACTTATTTAATGGGTCATTTCTTTTTATATTGTTTTTCCATTTCTTGGAATTTAAGATGAATCAGTCTTTGAATGAAGAATATTTTCAGTTTGGCTCACAATCTAGTTCTGCCATATCTGCTTCTAATACCCTTCTAGACAAACTAGAAGATGATCAAAACCAGACAGCTCTGCATATTCTGGGCACTGTGTCAGCTATCTAGGGGCAGGCAGTCACTTATCATGATATATAAAGGTACCATTATAAATGAAGAGTCTGGAGCAGACCTCTGTGGGTTGCATCTTAAGTGAAAGAAAGATGCTGTCTCCGGATGTCTTACACAGTTTTCACTCCCCGTAGAAACCTTTATTTTGCATGAACTCCACCAAACACCTGTAAAAGAGGCATTCTACCCACCATAGGCCTATCTGCAGAAAAGCTAATCCACAAGGGTGGGGAGTGAGCAACCACAGTCGGCATGGTGGGGCTAAGAAACATATGGCTTCCTCACTTAATATTGCTGCACAGTTGTCCCACACCATATTCCCTTAAATGGGCATTAGATCCACAGCCAAATTAGCAGGCTATAAAACATATGAAAATAAATGCTTTTTTTGATGTTACAAAAATGAAACACGGCTTAACATTTTCTGCCCATTATCAGTATGCATGTATTCCGTGTACATGTGTATTGTAAATGCATTGCATTTTTAAAGAAAAGAAATACATAGCATATTCAAAGACAGTTATTTTAATTATAAGCAGTGAAAACTAAGTGGCTATATGCTTTACTTCATCAACTTATGCAGATAACCCAACTGATTTTTCTAACTTGTAGAAGAGAACAGTTTCTTTTGAATCTCCTTTTGTTGACCCCCAATGGCCTTTAACTGTTTAAACATTTCCTTATTCTCTTTTGTCCATGGTATATGTTCATGCTTTCTTTAAGAGCTAAGGAATATCGGGTTCTACACGAAATATATATCAATTAATGTAAATTCACAAAGATTAATCATTAAAAGAAATATGTGGGTAGCATTTACTGTAAATGAAGTCTTCTTTACAATGAGTGTAGTAAGAATGCTTCACTTCTGGAACCTTCTGTTACTGTTAGGTCATCAAACACTGTCAGAGACATCCTATTTTGTATGTACTTTTGTTAGTAATCCTATATGCATTCGTTATCCCTTACCATATGGTGAACTTCAATATTGGAAAGTTTAAGTTATAATTTTATTTTATTCTTAAATTCCATTTTGTCAGGGATTATCTTCTTATTTAATAAGAAATAAAGACCCCAATAAACCAAATAGCTTGCTTAATGCCATACAGTCATGCAGTTCATGACATCCTTCACTTCTGATCTTTTAACCACTTCCTCTTGCTATGTAGGTTACTGCTTCCCAAAAATCACATAATTCTTGATATCATTAAAGCAAGGAAAGATAGTTTTCAAGTTTTATTTCTAGAAGAAATAGTGGTTTGGTCATATCCATTCATTACCTGGATTGGTGAAAAGATGCATAAATTTGCAAGATGGTGGAGCAGTAATATGGCAAAGGCTTTTTTGTGTATGACAACCAACTGACCCCTAAATGAATTGAACCTATGACCTCTTTCCTCATTAGTTCCAGAAAAGAAGAAGACAACTACCCCAGAAACAATCGTTACAAGCAAGCTACAACACAAACCCCCCATGTTATTCCGTTGGGACTAATTAGAGAGCTAAACAATGCTCTTTGAAAGACATGCAGAATCATATTGCCATGTTCTTCTGAGTTGTGAACCTCTTGATTCCATGCAAAATTTTATGTAAGAACAAATATACATTGCTCTGGGGAGAAGTTTCCAAGTTTTTGTAATATTTACACAATGTGGTTGTGTTATCCAAAATAGGTTAAAAGTAATTGTTTTATCGATGCTTCAATGGATTGTGATGATATCATCATTGATCCTGATGTTCTATCCCAAGTAAATGATTTGTTACATTTTAGTGAACTGGCAGATTATATTATTTTATATTGCTGGAGAATATAAAGGAACAAAAAGTAAAAATATATGTTTAGTCTTTATAATTAATCTAAATAAGTAAATAATCTGAGATATTATTAATATTCAGTAAATGCCTTTTTGAGTGGAAATGAATGTCACTCAAATCTTGAATAGTTTTATGCACAACGAGAAAAATGTTGTAATCATTGGTATGTAAATAAAAGAGCATCCAGTCTAAAGCAAGTGGACGTAGCAAGAATAAAATTGTCACATATTTGAGAGCAATGTTGACTTAGATGATTATGAAAAACAGTGTGGCTTTTCTAGTAATCATGGGGTTAAAGCACAATAAAGAACCTTACAGATGCACTTTGTTATCCAAGAGACAGATAGAGAGATGCTGTTCTACTGATATATTACATAAATCATGGTGCCAGCCAGAAAAACAACAGATGACCAATTTGTACAAAACATTTTTCCTTATGTTACATTTATTTAAAATACATTAAATCGTTGCATTAAAATTGAGGCAGCTGGCAGTCCAGGCAACCTTATAAGATTTCTGTTTTCTGGATGGAGGCATAGTCACATAGAAAGGTGAACCTATTGGGCTAGTATATTCATTTAGTTATATGCCAAGCCCTTGTGAAGCACCATGCCATACTTTCCTTTCTTGTCTCTCTTCTCTTCCCTTTCCTTTTCATTCTTTACCCCCTTTCACACTATTCTTTCCACCTCCTTCCCTTTCTGCCTCCATCAATTCTTGTCCCCCTCCTTTCTTAAAAATCTCTTATAAAACAGGAAAGAAGGTTAATTCTTTTCCCAAGTAAAGTCACTAATTAATGCCAAGACGCAATCCAAAGAAAAGAACCTGCATGAAATGAAATTGGAGAAATCTGGCCGTTTTCTAGGGTTATCTTTTCTCTCATACAACTTGTCATTTCAGTGATGCTCATTTGACTTTGGGGATAAAAAATCTTGTCTGAGTTAGATGGCTTAGTATTAATTGATCATACATAGCCTTAAGTTGTGAATGAAAATTAAATAATTCCTGCATTTTTAGTCTATATATATTCAAATTCTTAATGAGATAGACAACACTCTCAAAGTGTTGAAGATTGCTGCTAGAATTACTTGGAAAACCAGTTCTGAATAAGAAATCTATAGTACAGAATGTCATGGTTTTTTTTTTAGTTTATGTAATGACAACTTCATATCATGGCATGTAATGCTCTTCATCTTATAGGGTTCTGGTAGTTTGTAGTATCTAATTGTTTAATGCAATTAATTATCCAAATGAGAGTTTGATGATTTCAGTAAAATTTTCATCTGCATTAGTTAATAATTAGATTGGGAAATACAGTTTTTCAGTAAGTTGAAATTCAAAATTTGAAACTACCAAGATGATAGAATTCTATTTAAATTCATCAACTATTTTTGGGTCACTACTGTGTTCACAACATGCTAGGAACATATTTGGTAAATTTTTAAGAACTTAAATATACTTTTTCTCTTAGGAGACTAAATTAGAGCATAAGAAAAAATACAAAACAAAGTCTGTTCTCTCAGTTTGTGATCTCTATGGAGAGATTTGTATTTTGGGGAAATATGCAAACAATTAAAGAACAATTCCAGACCTTGAGTGGTACCAAGCTGAGCCCCAAACATAATATAGACAGCTAGACTTGCCTATTTAGAAGAGGTGGAGGTTATGGAAGGTCCTTGCATCTAAAATACTATTATAGAAGTTGTGTATAAGGAAACTTCACAGAAGATGTGAGGATTGAAATAAATTTTGAACTGTAGAGAAGATTTCGATGTTTAAGATAGTAGGAACATTTGGTGTTAACTCACAATGAGACCATCCAAATAGGTTCATTTTACTATACTTAGGATGAATATGAGGCAAGTTTAACTTGTGAATTCTTTAAAAATTTTCTAAGGTGGACATAGTGGCACACACCTATAATCTTAGCACTCAGGAAGAGAGACAAGAGGACTATATAATCAAGGCAAGTTTGGACTACATAGTAAGACATTGTCTCAGGTGAGAAAAATAAGGATTAGTGAATTTCCACACTGGAGAAAGACAAAAATATGAAGCATGGAAAAGAGAATTTATTATTTTTATTTTTAAAGTAACAATGTGCTTGGAAGTACTTAGGCTAGTCTTGTGGTATGAACACATTTCCTTCAAGAGTGAACGCTTTCAAGGGCCATGGTAAAATATACTTGATCCAAGTGTGCTGGAATCTTCTTGGTAGAGGATATTCATAGCAGTGTCTCCAGGATTCTGCACTCAGAGCAAATGGTTGCCCACAGAGGCTAAGATGCTTGGGTTTTTGAAGTACTGTTATGAAATAGCCTGATAGATCATGCTGTTATATCCAATAATGTGTTTAGAAAAGCATGGGGTAGGATAAATTAGATCATATGTGCTCAAAGTATATCAGTTTTAATTCTTTCCAATTGCTACAGCACAAATACCATGCAACAAAAATATATGACTCATAGTTCTGGAGCTTGGTGAATCCAATATTAAGGTTTTAGAAGATTAGATAACTGGTGAGTCGGGCCTATGCGTGACACCATCTGCTTCCTGTGTCCCCATGACTTAAAAAGGAAATATGCCTCCTCGGGAGGCCCAGTTCATTTCCTAGTCCCCTAAAGGTCTCTCTACATAATTTGACCACTGTGGAGGTTAGGATTTCAACATAGGAACTGGTAGAGGGTACAAACATTTAGACCATATCAGCACACAAAATTAGTAGCCTTAAGCCCATTAGAATTTCCATTTTTAATTGATTTGATATTATGCCCAGCCATTTTGTAATATGGCAATTCAATTTATCAAATTATCAAATCTTTAATGCCAAAAAGTGAAATATTAAATAGATCTGTTTTGTACAAAATGAGCAAAATTAGAACTGTGGCTAAGTGTGTGTCTTTTTACCAAACACTTAGTTTCTTCTCCCTGTTCCCCCTGTCCTCTACTACCCTTCTTTTCTCT